TTAATCGGAAAAGTAATTGACAGATTAATCGATTATCAAAATAATCATTAGTTGCAGCCCTAATACACAGATACACGTTATACCTACTGTATATAGTGGCTCAGCATTCCATTCACGCAGAATTTATCATACCTAGACATAAGGTTTTGGATACCCTGTCTTCATATGTATCTGTTTAACAATACTTTAATTGCCATGAGGTCCCAACACCTATGAGGATGCAGGCAACTACATCAAATTGCAGTTTCTGGACCTCAACATGAGACGAGATGTTAAAGAGATCTACTCCCACATGACCTGCGCCACAGACACAGAGAACGTCAAGTTTGTGTTTGATGCTGTCACTGACATTATCATCAAGGAAAACCTCAAGGACTGTGGTCTCTTCTAAGAGCCACACCTCCATAAGGTGAGAGTAACGTCTCTAACTCTTGGCTCAACTAAGCCCAGTACCTACTGCTACACAGCATAAAATACCATGGCCCTGTATTTGCCATCATCCAAAAACACATATTTCCACTTCTTAATTATGTTGTGAACTGCCACGGCGTAATGAATATAGTTGTCAGGTACGGAATCATTGAAATCCACAAGGTGGCAGTAGTTGACGCCTGATAATCTGGTATCCCTTGGTAGCCTGAATTCCCAGATGCTTGCTGTTATTACTAACTGCACATTTCTGCCTTTGTCCAGGAGTGGAATGACCCCTTGACCTCAATCTGTCTCCAACGATCAATGTGACCTCCAACTGAGGACAGCATCCAGTCTTCCTTTGAGGACACCCTGCCCTTTCAAATCCAAACCAACGACAAATAGAACATGTAGATGGTTTAATGATTCTTACCTGTACAGCGGCTGTTAGAGAAAAACACCCAGACCTGTTGGGTCATTTGTCATGAAAGACAATGGGTCTTTAGTTCCCAGAAAACCGAATTATGACCAATTTCTAAAAATGAGAGATTAAATTAATTTCTATGACCATAAACTAAAACTCTGCCATTCATAACGGGCAACTGAAACCTCTAATCCTGCATTTCAGTTACTGTTGTCTTTATCAACAATGTACAATTACTGCTGTTGCCGTCTTTGATATTATTCTTAATTTATCTGCTTCAAATCGATTTGTAATATTGTTGCTAAGTTTTAAGTTGAGACCTGCATTCTATAAAAGTAAATTGAAACAAATATTGCAAAAGTCCTAACAACTCTTTCAATATGACCGTCACGCAAGGAAGTGTGTAGTATAAAAAGTAGAGAAGTGCACATATCAAAAAATAGCAGTAAATCAATGTTTATTCTTAAACCTGCAGGAACAAGTCAAGTAGTTTATAATGGAGGTTGTATCCAATACCTGCATAAGCACATCATGCGGTAGTAGAGACATTACATGATAGTTTGCATCTTAAATCAGCACAATGCACTCTATAGTGGTAAAGGCAAATGAACCTGGCTTATAGCCAAACCTTTCAGAGTAAGACTAAGATAAACAATCTGTAAAGTTGGACTTTGCTTGCAGTGCTAGAGGTTACATTGACAGAGTTATAGAAAGCCAAACTTCGGCATGGCTTGTACCGCTAACCCTAAACGGCACACAGGAGCTGTGACAGGCAAGGGCAACGCAGGCAGAAGGAAACCGGACATTCCGGTTCTGTTAATTTGCAGGTCAACCATTTTGGAAAAGGTGACCGGAGTAGCATGTTAATCCAAGTTAGTGTGTAGTCTAGCCTGTAAACAGCCCATGTACTGTACAGGACTCATGATGGCAAAGCAAAATATACCAAGTAAAGCTTAACTAGCAAAGCAAACCTTTCATTTTCACTGCTCATTTTACTTCACACTAAAATTGAACAAGTTTTTAATCACTATAAAGAAAATACTCTATATTTGGTAGTTAGACATACAGATAGAGCAGTCTCTCTCTCTCACACTCACACTCACACTCACACTCACACTCACACTCACACACACACACACACAGCAAACAACATTTTTCAATTCAAGTAAGGATTTAGTCAACTTAATCCAAGATTTTTTTTTTCCCCATTTTATTTGTTGTTAACAATGCATGGGTGTACTTTTACAATCTTTCCAGTCTCAGACTTAAAAATTGTCGTTACATAAAAACACTTGCAAAAATTAAAAACAATTTTCTAAAGATTCTATTGTAAAGAAATGGCACATTTGGTGAAAAATGGATACCACTTGTAGTTTCAATTTGTAAACACACCTCAAAGCAATCCGATACAAAGAGGAGATTCTGCTCGTGTGGTCATGATAACTAAACAGATGTTTCTTTACAATTACTGGGAAGATTTGGGATGTGAGGTGTTTGGCTAACAGCAGCTTGGGAAAGGTGCTTGATGGGTGACAGGTGTGTGGAATGAACCCCCAAACCCACCCACCCTGCCATGGCTGCAGGTTGGGAGCATGAAGCTGTTGATGGTAAAGCGAGCATCAGAGGACCCAGATCTTTCCAGTAGGGAGAGAAGAAGAAAAAAACACTATAACAGAACTGATGGATTTCAGTCCGGAATCTGAATGATTGCTGGGAAGTGCATTAGTATAGTACAAGAGCAACTTCTTTAACTGTAAAAAGTAATGCTTGCCACATCACTGACTAAAATCCAGAGTGTTCATATTGAACAGATTGCACCTTCCTGGTCCAACTGTCACTGTGCAAACCTTTAAGCTATGTGGCTATGGGCCACAAACTTCAACATGTTCCACTTTCAGTAAGATTGGAAGAATATGATATACAGTGTATAGATATGACCTACAAACCATGCAAAGATCTGCTTGAGACCTATAGAGCAAATCATATTTAGAATTATTTAAATTAACATGCTAAACGTTCCAGAGTATGAGGACATATGAATACAAGAAATGGCTCCAATAACAGAAACAATGATATTCCAAGCATGCAAATTAATCTGCTTAGAAGTTGACACATTATAAATCCCTGAGTTTCCTATCCCCTTTTAACACTTTATTATAGCGCTTCGGACAACATAGGTAAGATGCACAAGCCACATAGCACATGGAAATTGTTTGGATTAACAACTCCATATGCATGTATGTTACCATCTCCAAGCAGGAATCCAGCTATATATTTAAATAGACTTAACTCACAACCAAACCTGGAACAGACAAACCTTGTCCTCTAAAAGGCTATGGAGAACAGTCATTCACATTGTTCTGATGGCCATCATTCAAACTCATCATTTTCTAAAGAGCTTGTTGACACGCAAACTTAAAATGAACATGTATAAATTGCTATAGGTCTAACACTACACAAAAATGCCCTAATAAAATATGGCTTTATTTTGTTATATAATTGAAACACATTGTTCTTTCCACTTAATGAGAACTTCAGATTCAATTTTGAACAATTCTTTCAATATAACCCTACATGCAACTTGCGAATTATCGTTTAGATTTTCAAGGGAGGCTTACTCCACATAAAAAGTCCTTTAAGCAAGTGAAAATAGTGCTAGTTATGTCTTAAAGTTTTCCATCATTCAATTTAATCACAAAGCCAACATCTTACAGCCCAAAATCCCTTGGAACCCAGGTATAAAAATGGAAGAATTTAACTGGTTGAAGGCTCACAAATCACCTGCAGAAGCATATGGCATCTGAGGCAGGAATTTAAGACTGTAAACTGAGTCCACTGCATTTCATAATTTTAAGGACATTGCTGTGATAGACTATCATGGACTAACCCCTCAATATCAAAATTATCTCCAGCACAACTCACAATTCTCAGGCACAAATGAAGCTCCATGTACATCTATTAAGAACAGAATCAGGGCATAGTGCCTTAAAATGCAGTCAAAATAATGTCAGTCAACATTCCTACATATGCATAACTTTAGCCTTGTGATAAGCATTGAAAGAAGCTGCATCTATCATCTGACTTATGGCATGTGTTTTATTGCTGGGCTACAAGACCCGTAAACAACTTAGTACTTAGCGATGGTACTCTCAGATTTGTCCACATAAGGCAGTGCAAATGAGGCAATATTCTGAATTATTTAGACCTTTTTAAAACTTTAAGCACATTTATGAAGATTGATGCAATCTTTCGCCTAAAGGACTGTAAAATCGGATGACCCGATGTTTTAACTGTTGACCCTCATTCTCTAATGTTGCCGAACACTGCATCAACATACTGACCCATTAATCTCAACCTTCGACTAGACACATTATAATTTTAAGACATAAGTGTAGACCAACAACCCAAATCCAAACCATAATTTGAAAATATATTTAAAGGAACCAAAAAAGCACTTGTACAGTTGGATTACTTGGGAGTGAAAAGACCAATGGAGTGAACAAACAAGCTCAGAAAGAATTCAACTGAATAGGTCACTTCCTACTGATCTTTGGTTTACAGCTTCTAACCTCAGATCAATAAAAACCACTAACAGAAGCATCAAGCATCGAGTCATTTTCAAATCATATTAGTATAACATAATGACATTACAGCCTCAGATCAGTGTAAATTACCTTACAGAATATAACAATGCTTGGAAAATTCTTTACATTTACATCCACGGATCACAGAGGAGACCGTTGCTGTCATACTGAGGATGCAGAGATGCAGTATTGCAAAAAGGCAGAGAAACTTCTGTTTGTTTGTGAAGATGGAGAGGAATTGCATGAGATTTAATTCAGGACCATAATCTCCGTAATACAGGTGTTACAAATAATTTTAGTGAGGCAATAACAGGAAGTAATCCAGGAAGTACTTCTGCAAAAGCAAGCATATTCATGGCAACAAAAAGGTAATGTTTTTCAGAAGTAGAAACCCGTATTACTGAAACCGAAATCCTCCCGGGGAGCTGGAGGTCAGACCTGAGGAGCTGATTCTCCAGCAGCCCTTCAAGCCCGGTCCAGAGATGGCGCCGCAACTGGTGCTGCTCTGCGGAGCTCACAGGAGTCCCACCATCTGATCAATCTGCTTCATGTAAACACTTTTCAAGGGCAGCGCATACCGGCGTTCGTCGGGAATCCGGTCGCACTGCGGGCACACAGAAGAGGGGAGACAGTGTCATAGGCAGCTTGCCACCATTCTGTTCCAGCTCTTCAGCTCACTTCAGAAAAACAGTCTCAGCAAATTAAATCTCACAGCAAAATCCACTTCTGAATGACTGAATAGAATAATAATCAGAACAGACAATGTACAACATGCAGTCCCAAAGACAAAATAACACAGCAAAGATATTAAGAGCACTGTATTGTTTAAGTTCCCCAGGCTGTTCTTCCCCACTCACATTCCAGTCCCTTTCACTGTCTGGCACTGATCTTACATTGCTGGTGTTGCTGGGAGGCACGTTGGTTGCATCCTGATCCGTAAGCACGCCTTCCTTCCACTGTTTCTCCCGGAAG